GGCAGGTCTCAATGGCACCCAATGTGGAGAAGGGAGAAGGTGAACCCAACCCTTGGGTCATGAGGGCCTCACCTTACATACATGCTTCTCTCTGGCATCTTAGGAGCCTCCAAGTCTTTCTCTACAGTAACAGTACTGCAAGAAGCACCCTGACAAACGGGCCACTACCCATCTCCATCATCTGTCCCTGCCCCCTCTCCTAGAATTGTTTCTGGTGCTGTAGGTCCAATCTGAGACCCTCCCTGTATCCCAGGCAGTAAAGAGGCACTGGGTTGCAAACCACCTGTGGAGGTGTGAAGGGTCCCCATAGGCTCAGATGTTTGAATACTTGGTCCCCAGTTAGTGGCACTGTTTGTGTGGGCTTAGGAGGTGTGGCCTTGCTGGAGGAAGTGTATCACTACAGGTAGGCTTTGAGAGCTTAAGGCTTCACCCTATTCTCAGTCAATGCTGCTTTGTGCCTGAATGGTGTGAGCTCTCAGCACCCAGTTCTGCATCCATGTTTGCAGCTTGCTGCCAGCTTCCTCACCATGATGGAGGCTCTAATGCCTCTGGAACCTTCAGACACATAAACCCTTCCCTCTACTACAAGTTGTCTTGGTCACAGTGTTGTATCACAGCAACAGGAAAGTAACTAATAAGTCAAGGAGTCCCAGTTCCCAAGAGTGGAAAATGTCTTTGAGGAGCTCAGCATACAAAGCTCTTGGAATGTGAATGTGCAGTATTGTTTCAGCTATCATCTGTGCCGGACAGATTTATGTCAACTTGACACACGCTAGAGTCATCTGAGAAACCTCAACTAAGAAAATGTCTCCGTAAGACTGGGCTCTAAGCAAGTCTGTAGGGTGTTTTCTTAATTGATGGGGGATGGACATTGTGTACAGTGCTATCCCTGGGCTTGCGGTCCTGGGTTCTATAGGAGAGCAGGCTGAGCAAGCCATGGTGAGAAGCCAGTAAGCAGAACTCTTCCATGGCCTCTGCACCAGCTTCTGTCTCCAGGTTCCTTCCTGCTCTGTCTGAGTTCCTGCCCTGGCTTCCTTCAGTGATGGATAAAGCAAAGCAAATAAATCCGATCCTCCCCAACTTGCTTTTGGTCACGGCGTCTTAACACAGCAATAGAAACCCTAAGACACCATCTTTTGTACCAACACATGAAGGGGCTGCTCGGATTTCAGACACACGGCAGGGGCTAGGGCTTTACTCTGAACATCTGCACTGAGTGAGACAACCACAGAGACAAGCATCCTACCTTCTCAATAAAGTACAGGGCCCAGTGCCAATAATTATGGGAAGCGAGCATATCCGAGTCCTGTGGAATGAAGGAGAGAAAGTCAGAGCATCTGTGGGCTGGCCCTAAGTTCAGTTGGTATCATACACGAACCCCTGGGTTCAATCCCCAACATTGAATCAACTGGATATGGTGGACCACACCTGTGATCCCAGCACACACTGTGATCCAGGGAGTAGAAACAGAGGATCAGAAGTTCAACTTTGGGTTCAGGAGATGCTCACTAGGTACAGTGTTTGCTGTGCAAACATTGAAGAGCTCAGTTTGACTCCCTGAACCTACTTAAAACCTGGACAGGATGGTGTATGCCTGTAATCACAGAGAAAGCCAGGAGGTTTCTAGCCAGATAGTGTTGCCTAATCAATAAGTTCCAGGAAAAAGTGGCCTCCATGGCAGAGTCTGGAGCTGCTTAGAATTTTCCAGACCCAGGAGTCTGGGCATCTTTAGGATGGATATGTTCATGAACCTCCCTGTAAGCCAGCTGAACCCTGAGCCATGGCTGGAGATGCTGGGAATTGGCCTGGCTGTCAATCACAGTCCTAGCCTATGGAACAGCTCAAGAGGGATGCTGGTGGCCACAGCATCCTGAAGGTCTCTGAAGCATTGAACATCTGCCACTCAGTGTCAGGTTGTGGAGGGACTTGATTCCCCAGCTGGTGGTGTCCTTGGAGCCTGCTGTGGCACAGAAGGACAGGGCAGCAAGGGCACCTGGAGAGGTCGCGAGGTCAGGTACCAGAGGCAAGTCCAGAGAAAACAGGCACACAAAGAGGAAGAAGGACCACCAGAGCTAGTGGGGAAGGGGGAAATAGCCCCAGAGGGGTACCAGCCTGACAGAAGCAGGCATGAGTAACGTTGAGAATAGGGAATATGGACAATGAGGCCACATTGTGTTCAGTACACGGAAAGGGTCAGGCTAGACACTAGGGGTCTGAACCACCCTAACTCCCATATGCCAGTTCTACATCATTGGACCATCACCCCATTGGCCTGCCTCTCTCCCACCCACTGCATCATGTGGTCCAGAAGGACACTCCATCATTCCATGGGGATCCTGCTGGCAGCAGCAGAGGCACATGCAACTCAAGGCCCTAAGCATGCCCACACTTGCTGGGCTCTGATTTCCCCAGCACCCCTTGGGTCCATTCCTTTCATAGCAAAACACCTCAGGGAGACCCCAATTGTACAATCACTTATAAAATGCTGGCAGATGTTGAGACGTTGTGGAGCTCCCAGAGGATGCTTGGCAGTCAGGGATGCCTCCAAGCTGATCCTAAGCTCCTGGGGAACTAAACCACATCTGTAAGTCCTACCCAGCAAGCCTTGGTGGGATTCCGGGTATCAGACTGGATCATCCAAGTCTCAACTCCTACCTTCCAGTGGCCTTCGGTGTTCTTCATGAACTCCATGCCGTCCTTGATCTCGGCTCTCATCTCATGTACGTGGGCAACAGTGTGCACTGACCATGCATCTGTTGGCTCAACAGACAAAGCCTGCATGAGGCAGGAGATGGGAGGACAAAGAAAATGGGTGTTAGACCGGCTACCTGGGCTCAAAAAGAACAAGGGTGAGACTGAGCTCTAATTCAGAATAATGACAATCCTGACACCAGCACCATGTCCTACGTGCCTGGGAGGTAACGGTGTGTGCCTTACCCACCACAGCAGCTGCTGAGAAAGGCATCACTGACAGCCTCACAGATGAGGAAGCTGGGGCTCCAGGAGGCCAGCACTTGCTTCCTGGGTACACCCGCATCATCTGCAAGATGCTACCCAAGATATTGTGCCTCAGTTTCCCATGATGGCTTCTAGGGCTGCCTTCCTCTCAGGGCTATCAGAATAGCGTAGACAGTCACATCCTTTTCAGGTGAAGGACAAGCGGCTGCCTCGTCCACTAACACTCAGGAGATGGTTACACAGGCGGATTCCCACGCTAGAAGGAACTGGGTTTAGCAGCACTGTTGTTAACAACCAAATCTACAAGTCCCCGGAGTCCACAGAGAGGCCTATGGACACATGAACTAGCTCTTACCTCTTTGTCCATCTATTCACCAGGTCAGTTCACGATTATTGAGTGCCTTCTAAATGCTGGACATGAAGCAGTGAACTGGGGCTCACTGCAACCCCATCACTGGCTTGTCCTCAGGGCCCCACATCAAATCATGGGTCCCTTAGGCCCACCTTCCCTGATATCTAGAATTACAAGTGCCTCTGCACTGGCCTGGCATCTGATGCAAGGGTTTTGGCAATGTGTCCCCCTCAGTCTCTGGCCCCTGGCCCTGCCCCTCAGCTTTCACAGTCTTGTCCACTCCCTGTGGGAAGACAGGACTCACACAGCATGTCTGTGAGGTCTTGGTGCAGGGAGCCTGAGAACCAGGGGAGCTGGGGACATGACAGGGTGCATCTTGAGCATGCTGGTCACTGGCACACCTTTAAGGAACCTCTGCAAGCATTCTGCTTTCACACGCGACAGTTGAGAAATAGGACTCAGACCTGTTCTTTGTGACCAGCATCCTCACTTAACTGGAGTCCTTGCGAGGTTCCCTGGGAGACTCCAACTCTCTGCCTGCCCCTCACACCAGAGGTTGATCTGTTGGGCTTGCTGTCACCTTGTAAGTTCACTGTAGTTCAGTGGACCTGGTGCTGTCCACTCTTGCCTTGCGGAAACCTGGGGGACACTGTGACATTCTTGTCTTCATATCTACAACCTGTGTGTGGGGGTCTGGGGCTAAGGTCAGTGTGGCCTATAGCACCAGGCGAGCTGGAGCAAGGGCAGGAAAGAGCAATGGGTGGGGACACTGTTCTGCCACGTCTTGTTTCTGTTCTGACTTGAGTCTGCATCCTTGGCCATCTCTCTTTGGAATCAGCTTGTCAGAATGCCACTCAGAGTTCCTTCAACTGCCCTGCTCTCCTCTAGATGTCTAGGTGGTTACCCCAACCAGAGGAGCCTTCCTGTGGCTTAACCACAGATGCAGGACCTGGCTACCCTGATCTTAGAGCTTAGATGGCCAAGAAGCTACCTGGAGCCCTCAGGGCTGACTCACACCTAAAGAAAACAAAACCAAAACCAAACAAACAAAAAGTCTTCACCTGATTCCTGAATCTGAATTGAGTTGATTCAGGCAAGGGCCAGACACCCTGAGATTGCTGTCCTGAGGAGAGGGCACTTCAGGCCAACTGAGGCAATGCCTGGGTCAGGAGCCACAGCAGGGATGCAGGGAAGCTAAGTACTAGTCTAGGCTGCTTAAAAGACAGCCATCTGGACCAATGGCCTAGGTGACACTCTGACCCCTAAGTTTTATCACCATGGGAGGGCTCTGTATAGCCTCTCTCTGAGCTGCAGCTCTCCTTTGTGGCCACCAAGGTGTTTAACAGTTAGGCAGACACCATGGGCAGGAGCAGGCAGGCACAAGGACAGGTATGACCCGGGACCAAGAGCACACGTCACTCTCTATGCATGGCAATGCCTCCTTGCACAGTAGTTTCTACTCCTGCAAGGACACGAGGGGCAGAGAAGGACTTCCAGAGCCTGAGCTACCCTGTACCGACACCTGTCACTTGTCCCAGATTTCAGGCCCACAGGGAAGTTCCCGGAGCTGCAGATCAGACAGCACATCCCAGCAGAATACAGAAAACAGTGCCCAAGGCTGGAGGATCTAGCAGGCTCCACAATGGCTCCACCCCTCCCGCTGGCAAGCACCCTGAGTGATGAGTGATGTTTTTTTATATCCTGAGTGCAGGACAAAGTCACTCTGCCTCCCCACTCAGCGAGGAAGAACATAACAAGATCTGGCCATGACCTTTGAATCTCCACCCACCTCAAGCCTCATGGGTCATGGTTAGACCCAGTGGAACGGTGAAATTCAAGCAGGGAGAACCAAGGTTTGCGTGCTCTCCTGTACTGCTTTAGTCCCAATTGTTCTGCGGCTCTAGAGCCGACTGGAACTCACAGGTGCAGAGAGCCACAACTCGGGTAACCCCTGAGGGACAGAGCCACCACCTCCCTGAGTGTCACTGCCTCATCTGCTCCAGCGACCTCCGGAGGCTCTAGAGCAGTTATGAACAGGGAGCTGTTTCCCCTAACAACAGCCCCTCCCAAGAGGACACTCCAAGGTGGGCAGGAGGGCTGCCGGTCCTCATATGAGGGGCCATACCCTAAAGGGCCTCACACCTTGAGAAGGCCCACTCACCTCTTTGGCAAGCTTTAGTGCCTGGTCATAGAAGTTGGTTTCCATCAGTCCGAAAGCATAGATGCCTTTCACGTAGCTGTAAACAGAGAAAAAGAGTTCAGTTCCCAGGAGGCTGAACAGGAACAGGTGGGATGGAGTCCGCCAGCAGGAGCGGCTGGAGTCCACACACCAGGGCTTGTATGTGACTGTGTTTGGACACAGGGGCTTCACAGAAGGAACTGAGGTGAGATGCGGTGGGTGGCAATCTGATTGCTATTGTTGACTTCGTAACACAGCCGTGTGGACCTGGTGGTGTCACTGAAGAAAGGACTTGTGACACCCTGAGTCTCCTCAGGACCTCAGCAAGGGGCAGCACTAAAAGGCTGACTCATGCCGTCAACCCAGAGAGGAGCTGAGCTCAGCAGTCCTCCTTTAGAACTTCCTTTAGTACAAGACAAAGCGAAATTCAACCTGATGGTGATTTCCCAGAATCCTGTGCTGACCACATGGCTCACCCACTCCTCAGTCAGCAATGTAGAGTCTCTCGACAGAGGATGACAGGGTCTATGGTCACCTCCCTGGGAGCCTGGCACTGTGGGTAACTCCATTCAGGCTTCTGTTGCAGCGTCCTGCACCCAGCCTGTGAGCACCCACTGACCAGCCTGCCAATCCCCAGAACTGATCCCAGTGCCCTGTTTGTCCAGCTCACCCTCCATTCTGGCCCACATACTTGCATTTCTTATCAGTCACCCAGGCAATGAGCCCCAAGATGGTTGGTCACAGGTGACAGAGAGGCTCTATCCTGTGTGAGCAAAGACAGAAGCTACTGTCTAAGTCTCAGGTGTCACTTTTACTGTCCACCACAGGGACACATGACAGCCTTTACAGGAGAGCAGTGGCTAGCAGGTGACTTTAAAAAATATTTGCTACTCAGGAATCAGAGGCAGGCTGATCTCTGTGAATTCAAGGCCAGCCTGGTCTACAGAGTTAGTTCTAGGCTAGCCAGGGACTACACAGAGAAACCCTGTCTCGAAAAAGGAACAAACAAACAAAAAAATTTACCAAGGGATTACTGTAGGTCAGGTACTAATTAGCTCGAGAGTTGTTTAATTTTCAATTAGGCTGAACCATGGTAGCTGGACCTGTGGTCAGGCACCATTCTATGGGTCAGCACAAAGGTATTTGTATTAGAAGTGATTACTTTTCAATCAGTAGACTTAGACACAAACAAGATTCTCAATAATGGAGGTGCGTCTTGTCCAATCAGGTGACAGTCATAGAGACAAAGTCCAAGAAAGAAAAAGACACTCGCCCATCCAGGTTCCTTTAGATACAAAGAAGAAGTTGACTTTTGTGGGAATTTCTAGCCTGCCACCCTGCCCTACAGGTTCTGAAACTGCCAGATGCTACTAAACAGCCCTCTGGAGAGTACCCCTTTCCCTGTAGCAACTGGTGTATCCACAGGTCATTGCTCTAATTGTCTTGAAAACAGACAAGGATGTGGCCACAGAACCCTTGGCCCCAGACAGATGATAGGAAATAGCCAGGCATGGTGGCTCATTACCTGTAATGCCAATACCAAAGAGGATGAGGTATAAGATTGCCATGGATTTGAGGCCAACCTGGGTTACAGAATCAGATCTTATCTTAAAAAAATAAAACTAATGATGGACATGAAGTAGGGTGTTACACTTTGGAGAGTATAATCTTGGGGATGCTTGTTACTACAGCACTGAAAATCCTATATGACTGATACACAATGATACTACCTCATTCACAGGATGGGATGAAGATCAAATGAAGAGAAAGAAGCCTTTTAGATGAGCAGCAGGAGTCTCATTATCTCTAGGCCGGGGCCAATAGAGTTTCTGAGTCTTTAGGGCAGAGGACAGAAGGAAAAATGAGATGATGTGGCTTTCTCAACAGCATGTACCTGTTAAGAGGGACATTAGGTTTCCAAAAGGGGTAAACTCGGGCCACAGAATCCCGCATCTGCTCCTGCTGGCCCAGGAAAAAGTAGGCATCATGGGCAAACCTCAGGGCCAATATGTCTGTTGGGTAATCCAGGAGAATCTGTTCCCAGAGATCACAAGCTTTGGAGAAGTTCCTGCAAGACAAGAACACACTGAGCATGAAGTCCACATCCA